TTTTTTCCGGAGATTAGTCTGATTCCCGGAAGTCGCCATGGTGGCACGATTCTTTAACCATGCAGATAAGGCATGCTTTATCCAGTTTTTACTTTCGTTTTTAACTGAATTCATGGAATATAACCCATACTTCTGTTTCTTTACATTGTTGACAAGTGCATGTTTGGCACAAATTTTCTATCGTGTTTTTACTGCGATTTTATTCTTTCCTCCCACTGACGGAACCGGTTGTCGGTTGTTCATAGGTTGTTTCTAGAGATCAACGTTTGTCCAGTGATTGAGACTAGCTCTTTCTAAGGGGCCCAACTGAGTAGGTTAAACCTTCCCTATACACCTGAAGACGGAGACAGATCCAGTCTCCGAAACGTTGTGGTTTTTTGTCTTTTTATATACCGGACGATGGGTGAAGTCCAAAATAAGCCAAAAGAAGTTAAGTAAGCGTATTCTGAACCTTCACATGTCAGTCCTGAAGATGGACGAATGTACCTCCGAGACATGCACAGTTCATATAAATGCTTAGAAATGAGTGTATGTAAATCTGGTAAGAGGTTCCTATAAAAATAATTTGTGTAGATATAATTTGTGTCAAGATGTGGCTTGAAGTACCAATTTTCTATTGTTTCATTACCTTCAATGACATGTTTAAATCTGACCATTATTAAAATTATTTCTCCATGATATGTTGGTCGTAATTGTTTGTTACTGTTAACAACTTGCCGTTTACAGTTTCAGGTAATAATTTGCATTGTGTGTGTGTTAACAAGTATTTCAGTCACTAATTGACAATAGATTTTCCGTCAAGTGCAACAATATATATTTTGATCACTTAATTATCTCATCTGCCTTACATGTTTCGGTTCCAAGGAACCATCTTCCTTCAATGATAGTGTAACGGACCAAAATGAAACAATTCAAAAAAGTATTTCAGTTTTTTTCTTATGTTGAGGAGCCCCAGTTAGAATGAGTGAAGTGTAAGAGAGCATTCAGCAGCAGATTCTGAATACTGTTAGGAATCTTAGAATGATAATGTTATGTCTGTGTAGGGAAAGAATGCCAAGTTGAACTCTTTTTGTTCAGCATTTGGAGGCATCCTATAGCGAAAGGTCAGTCTACAGAGGTGTATAATCTGAGGAAGAGTATGCATGTTACCCTTTCATCTGAGCAGTCTGTTAATGTACATGAACATCGGTAATGACATATAACTTCAAATGCAGTACTGACATAATTCTGCCTTTTGATAAGGCGATTGTGTAGGAAATTATCCAGCATAATTTTATACAGAGAAGAGATGTGGGGGATGTCCAAGTGGACAGACACATTACATTACATTACATATAGGCATATGATATATCTTAATTCACTCCTGTCATACATTGTCATTTTATAACTAGTGCAGGGTGCTGTTCCAGTGCTTTGTGATAATGCAATGAATGAGATTTCTTCTGTAGTATCCAAAATAGATACTCACCAGAGGGCCCAAAAAATGTAAACACACTTCAAAATACAGAATATCTGCCTAAATCATTTATTGGTATATCTTTAGTTAATCTTTGAAAATGTCCGTAGATAACCTCTGTAACACACTTTAGTGGAGGTTATCTGTGGACATTTTCAAAGTTGAACAGAAGATGTACCAATAAATCACTTAGGCAGATATATTGTATGTTAAAGTGCATATACATTTTTCTTCTGGACCTAATCCTTCCAGCTGCACTAGGCCCTGGGGTTTACTCAGCCTCTAACAGAAATGAGTACCAGGAATTAATTAAATAATTTTCCTGGGGAGTAAAGCGCGGCCAGCGCATAAGGCTGACAGTCTTACCGCCATCTTTGAGCCGATTGTCTAGATAGTATGGGACCCTCAATGTCTCACAACCCTATGGGCCTTCACGGCCTGGTAATTTTACTTTTACCCCTCTTTATATGCCTCATACCCATTAAGGTAGGAATGCAGTATGAGAATCATGCATGGTTCCAGTACAAAATGAAGTCATTGGAAGTAAACAGGATTCTGAAAATTAGTTTGATATTGTACGTGCAGGTCGTGGATTGACTCAAGGCTGTAAGCTTCATGCAACATGTTGCAGATTTCTGCAGCTGTTTTCCCTACAGTTAAATGTGACATATGTGGAAAATCATTTTCACAGAATGAATACTTGAAGCAACATATTTGCACACACACAGCTGAAAAGCGTTTTGAATGTGTTGTTTGTGGGAAGCCATTTGCACAGCGACAACACTTGCGTTTTCACATTTTTACACACAGGTGAGAAGCCATATGAATGTGATGTCTGTGGGTAATTATTTACACAGGTTGGACACTTCTCGCACAGGCGAAAAGCCTTATAAATGTGATTTATGAATATTATATAATATTATGTAATATAATCTACATACCAGACACATATCAATGAGGTAGATGTTGATAATACGAAGAAAATAACAATGTGTTTTTTAAATGTTAAACTTTAGACTGGGTTCAAGTGTGGCAGCAACGTTAAGAGTATACACCTGATGATGGCCGATAGAGGCCGAAACATGTAGTGTAGAAGAGAACAAGATCAAAGACATATAATATACAGTAAAACTTGGTTATAGCAACATCGGTTTCTGCGACTCCTTGTCTATTGCGTCAAATTTTCAATGGTACGAACTAATTCCTCATAAAGCAACTGTTTTTATACCTTGCTTCGTATGACATTCACAAATGCATCAACCTCATATGTAACGTCATTTTCATTCCTGAATTTCTCTGATATCGTGGGAAAGTTCGATGTGTCTGCCCACCCTCACTTTCTCTACTTGCTGACGTGACTGTCCTGGAAGAATACGACCGCGGGCTGCAAGAGGAGCGTGGGTTTTATGCGAAAACAAGGGTGTGGGGTGGGGCTGCGTGAATAGTGCAAGAGGACGCGGCAGGTTGTTAACTGCATTCCTTTCCTAGAATCTCGTCTAACAGGACCTCACATTGTCTACTTACCCTGTAGTGTTCCTGCCTAAACCCAGAGAAGTGCAGTAGCGAAAACATGGCAATGAAAAGGAAAGTTTTAAGCATTGAAGAGAAAGTTAAAGTGATTCGTGAAATATTGTGTGTATTGTCAGTGAAAAGCGCTGTAATATGTCTTTGATATTACACATTTGGGCAATTCCACGTTAATGTTACGTTAGTCTGTACTTAACTACGTATTTCACTAAAAAATGCAACATTTTAACTCGGTTTTTGGTAGATTTTTACGTGACTAACATAAGGCTACTGTGGAAGTGCCCATTTCGGTTACAACGACATTCGTTTATAACGACACTATTTTTAGGTCCCTTTGATGACGTTATAACCAAGTTCTACTGTATATTGTTTGCACTTGGGACGGAGTTTGTATCATTTATTGTGATTTATGAAGGGAAGTCATTTGCACATACTTGTTACTTGAAGAAACACTTTTTTATACACACTGGTGAAAAGGGTTTTAAATGTAATTTATACTTTAAATCATTTTCACAGGCACAGTATTTGAAGAAATATCTTTTCAGACACTCAGATAAAAGGTCTGTGATATGATGTAATGTAATGTGTGTGGATTATTGAAGCAACATTTACTTGTGCACACAGGTATGAAATGCTTGAAGTGTGGTGTATGTAGGAAATCATTTTCACGGAATGAATATTTAAAGAAACATTTAATTTCACACAGGTGAGAAGCATTTTAAGTGTAATGTATGTGGGGGCATATTTACGCAGAAAGGAAGTTTGAAGGAACACTTGCTTGGCCACACTGGTGAAAAGCACTCTAAATGCAATGTATGTGGGTAGTACTTTTCACAGAGTGAGGACCTGTGTGGTTACATGTTTAGACATACAGGAGAGAAGCCTTTTAAATGTGATTTGTGTCGAAAGAAATTTTTCAGTTGGTGATGCCCTGAAGTGTTACACTTTGAGACATACAGAAGTAAAGCTTTTTACATGGATGTGTGGGAAAGCATTTTTAAGAAATTGTGATCACAGGCATCACCTTCTAACGCACACTCTTGATAAGTTCTTCATATGTGATTCATGTGGGAAATATTTTTCAAGAAAATAGGTCCGCAGGAGGCACATTTTGAGGCATTTAATGAAAAATTTGAGTTCCCATCTCTGGTAGAATTGGAAGAAGGGGTCTGTAAACACTGTATGTAGGAATCTGATTTTATAATTTGTTGGGGGAAATTTTGTACCCAAAATTTTTAAGAGTTCCTGAAGAAGATATCTGGTGTTGCACTGTTTTTACAAACTGAAGGAATTTTATTGTGTGAATGGTTAACACGTTCTTCATTTGCATTTAATTTTTTGTAATCATATTTATTTATGTCCAATATTTGTGTTATGTTTATTTTACATTATGTTGGCTAGACTTGCTCCAGTGATTAATTGGAACATTTGTTCTGATATGCGACTCATTTTATATCCAATGGTTTGTGAATATACTTCTCAACCTGTTTCTGGATTTGCTTGAATTTGAAAGACATGAACATGAACATGAGGCTGCCTGCAGCGTAGAGTCGGTCTAGACGGCATCGGGAAGACAAAACTCATTCCTCTACTGTTCCTCTACCGCCACCGTAACTTGATTCGCATATTTTGCAGCATAGTCGCTATGGTCGCTATATCAGCTGAGAGATTCATTAGAATCTGAAGAAATAACCGTAACGATTTAGGTGGCTGTGAATAGAAATATGTGTACGCTGAAGCCGAAAATTTTATTTTTTGAGTTACTTGTACTTCCTGTTGTTATTTTCGGATGGATAAGGAGATTTCGGCTATGAAAGAACACTTATCGACCGCTTAGCGACAAAATTGATTAATATTACCGGAGAAAGCTCGAAAATACGGAATATTTCTGTATGGTTGGCTATAGTGCGTTCATGTCAGAATACGTGTGTTTCGTGATTCTACTGCGTTTTTGGTGTATATGTATCGTCGGGATTTAGTCAACGTACTTGTCCATTAAATTTTCAGCGGTAATTAATTACACCAGAGTATGGTTTCCGATATAGGAATTGTCTTAAGAAACCGAATAAACGAAGTATTTCATTCAGCTGTTATACAGGCATATTTTATTAAGACATATTTCTGCTCAGAATTAAATCTTTTGTACTTCAACATGTTACTGTGCGTGTCTTGCCCCTTGAACATGCAATATGAATATTAGAATCAGATCTTATTTTGATTCAGTCCCTGGGGCTTTGTAACAAAGCCGGCTTATGTAAACCATTTGTCACACAGCTTATCATGGACGTTAAACTGGAACCAGATTCAGACAGCGATGGTCACCAGATGTCTTCAGTGAATGATGGCTCTTTCGGTGGCATGAAAGAGGAACAACGAACTTTGTCGGAGATTACAAGTGAGGTAAAGGTGGGTGATGTTAGCGGAATATACATTATCTTTGTTTAATCTCTTCATGCACCGTTGTATTATTATCAACAATATTAGAATTTAAACCAAAATACTAAGAATGCTATTCCGGCACAAGAATTGAGTAAAGATCATAATACATATTTACACATAAAAGCTGAAAAGAACACCAGCTTAAACAAGAGCCATGTTATAAAATTACAAGCAACGTGGTTCCAGAACATAGGGCTTAATGTACTCGAATTATGAGCTAATATTTATGTTACAGAAGTTTGCAAACTGTTCTCAAATGATTATCACTTTTATTGCTGTGCATGTAAGTGGAGTACAGATTTTGATCTTCATATCATAATTAGTGGATGGATGTGATAGGACTGAAGTTATAGATAGATATCTCACTTAAGGATAATTTCTGAAAAATTGTTAACATTTTAATTGGTTTATTGGTAGTTAATGGAGTATATGCCCTTGTATTGAAAGTCCTTCAGCATTTGTTCTGCAGTCATCCAGAATTATTCTGAAATATATTTTAAAAATTGTTACATGTATAAGGTATCATATGTTTGTGAATGTCGCAATGTAACGGAGCAGTTGTTGAAAATAATTTGTAGGTATAAACTTGTTTCTGTAGTAAGCTTTGATAAAATGGCATTATATCAAAGTATCCTGAAAAGGTGACAGTATGTTGTGGATGTGCTGAGAGATACATAGTAAATACAGTCAACGTAACAGTATCACAAAGTTCAAATAGAATCTGCTTGATTAATGCATGGATGAACAAATTTGTAATATGGAAAGCTTTGTAACAATATGACATTTAGCATGTCTTTTACTTCCACAAGCTTAGTCTACTCACGCAGTCCTAATATTCTTGAATTTTACAACATAGGAATTGGTATTGTTACGTTTAGGAAGAATCGTGGAATGTTGGGGAGTTCCTAGAAGTGGAAGTGACAACAGAAGAACATGAAGTCCGTCGCAAGAGGTGAGATTGGTGAACTAATTTACAGGTCAGAGATTCACATGGGATGTGTTGTTGTTTTTAATTTTTGAAACAAAGTGATGTGTTACTTGTGTATTTCAGTTTTTATATTTTGTGCTTCAGAATGCAAACTTTTCACTGTTTGTCACTGAAGTGCATTTTAATTTACATTTAGATTTACATTATCCAACCTGTAAACTGACTAAAGTGCAAAAGGGAGTGTTTTATAGTGGGATTAGGATATTTAACAACTTGCCATGTAGAATTAAAAGCTTGTCAGAGGACATTAAGAAATTCAAATATTCCCTAAAAAAATTTTTGCAGGTGGGCTCTTTTTATTCCTTACATGAGTATTATGAATGGAAATCAAGGAATGATTGTGCTTCCTATAGATAAAGATTGCGCCTATTATTTGTCACATCTAGAATATAATATTATCTGTCTGTTTTTGTTTATAATTGTTGTGAATGGCACCTGATTTTTGACGTTGTTTGTTTCGGTGTCGTGTCTGTGATTTGGTTTGATGTGTTACTTGTTTGTGTTCTACAACTGTTAATGTACTACAGTTATATGTTGCCTTTTTAAATGTCTTGGATATTTAATTTTTAACAATTTATCATTTTAAATGTACTTTTTATTGACATGTCCTATATCTCAAGGCAGCACTGCCAATTGTAGATCTCTGGAACGAAATAAATATGAATGAATGAATGAATAATTTCATTACATTCGTGTAGCCGTTAAAAAATAACTCTGAAGATGTGGCAGAATATCTCAAAGCTTCATTGACTCTTATAAATACACATGGTATATGGATTGGCCAACCAACTGAGGTACAGAGAGGGAAGGCACCTAGAAAGAACCCAGTCCTTCCTTGTACACCCCCCTCTGCACTTTCCATCCTTTGCCTTACCTTTTCCTTTATCATTGACACAGTTCAAATATCTCCCATTCTTGGAAAGTTAAAATAGGGTATTATTAATAATGTACACAGATTTGTTTTATTGTGCTCAAATATTATTTCTGATTTGAGGCATTTCATGTTAAACTTCATAGTCAAAATACAACGAAACAGGAGAATTTCATCTGATATTAAAATTTTTATATTTTTTTAAATTACATTCTTGGTTTGAAGAGTTCACATTACTGTTTATATATGATATTTCAAACTTGAATGAGATTGATATTTGAGACCTAAGTTTTCAGTGGAAAAAGGTAGTATTACAGCATTAAATTTGGGGAATCCTGCCCCAGAGACTGGCCATCTATCCTAACAGATGATTTTTCCTTTCTCCTCTCCCCACCCCAGCCTACTTGGATGCTGCCTCAGACTGGCCATGACATTGTTTGAAATTTACTTGTTATCCACTATACCCCTTGCCACTTGATGTCAGGGAGTCTGATCTTCTGACAGGATTGTTTACTGAACCTTAAGTAAATAACAGGAGGCATCCTAATGCTAGGTCACATTTCATGAGTGTATTTTATATTGGTGTTACATTTGCTGAATAGCCGTACTTAGTAAATAGTAGCTGTGGTGGTGGTGGTGTTGATTATGATTAAGTTCCTTTATTTAAATGCCTGCTAACAGGCGAGCACTGAAAGTGTATACGTAACAAAAGCTAGACTAAGGCTAGAGCGAGAACTGAACTCAAATTGAATACTAGGCAACATGCTACTGATGTAAGTCAGTAGGATTACGCAAAGGAGAATTTATCCTCAAGGGAGATGTTGAGAATGTCCATAGATTTGCAGATGTTTGAAGCTGTGATGCACCTTGTTGAAGGGCTAGGTCCTGACACAGCACTTACGTTACAGGTGGAAAAGTTTAGCGTACAAGATGTGGCAATAAAGAAACCGGATTCATGCTCTAACCCTTTATTAAAAAAAAATCAGACAGTCGAAATGTTATCCCCTTCAATGTAGTCCCCTCCCCGATCCCTACACCGCTCCATGCGAATTTTCCACTGTTGGAAGCAGTGCTGCAGGTCATCTTGTGTTATGCTCTTCAAGAGTTGCGTCGCTTTTGCTTTCACTGCATCCACGGACTCGAACCTGGTCCCTTTCAGCGCAGACTTGATTTTTGGGAAGAGAAAAA